GGGGGGGGGCTCTGTGTGCACCACAGTGCATCCGGGGATGGTGAGGGAGGTGCCGTGTGTGCCAGGGCAGTGCCAGCAGAGGTGCCCATCAGCGGTGTCGGGTTTGTGGAGGGGCTGGTTGAGTGTGACAGGAGTCGGGTGATGACTTCAGAGCTGGGCGAGAAGCCAGGTCCCTGGCACTCCCTCTGGCTGGTTGAGCACTGGCCACGGGGCTGTGGAGAGCTCGGGGGTGGCCGGAACCACCAGAGGCGCCTCCTGGTTCTCGGCCGGTGGAAGTCAGGTGTTACCACCGCCAGCAGGAGACGCTGCCCGCTGGCCGCTGGCTGCTGCCTTTCTTACCCTCGAGGGAGCAGAGTGTGTGGTTAAGGGTGCCAGCCCTGGAACCAGGCTGCCTCTGTTCAGATCCCAGCCCTGCCAACTGTGCGTGACCCTGGGCAAGGGAGCAGACCTCTTTGGGCATCTGTACTCTCTGTGAAGCAAGGTTTCTGACCAGTGCCTCTGCTGCCAACTCCTCAGAGCCCTGGCTTGGCAAATTTCCATCTGGCTGACCAGGGCAAGATGGCCAGCTGTTGGGAAATGGTTCTGGGCATCTGCCTAGACTCCCCGAGTGAGGGGCTGGGGTGTGGCTCAGTGATGGAGCCCCTGCCTAGAATCCCCCAGTGAGGGGCTGGGGTGTGACTCAGTGGTAGAGCCCCTGCCTAGAGTCCCCCAGTGAGGGGCTGGGGTGTGGCTCAGGGGTAGAGCCCCTGCCTGGAATGCCCCAGTGAGGGGCTAGGGTGTGGCTCAGTGGCAGAGCATTGGAGAGGCCCTAAGTTTACTTTCTCTTCTCGATAAGTAAATAAATGATGATAATCACAGTGTCAGTGTTGACCGTACTTGAGGCCTTGCCAGCTGCAGAGCTAAGAACAATATGGCTGCCTTTTATTAACATATGTTCGCTGATAATCCTGGCTCATGACGGCCGGGAAGGAGATTCTCCGCCTACTCACACTGGCACTGAGAGGAGCAATGACGGGCTGAGGCCACCAGCTAGCTAGCGTATAGAGTATTAGGAACGGGGCCCAAAGCCCTGCCTCAGTCTTCCACGTGCTGGCCTTCCAGGCGTGTGCCTCCATGAGGGGACGGAGGGGTGAGGGGACAGATGTGGAAGGGGCCTGTGAAGGTCTGTGTATCCCGTGGGTGTGTGGTGCCTCCCAGGTCGAAGCCATTGGCAGGTGGTTGTGGGGTGGCGGGACCCAAGCCCAGGTCCTCCACAAAAGCCACCAGGGCTCTTGGCCTCTGAGGCAGCTCTGCAGCCGAGCTGGGGCTTTCATTTTAGGGTGCTTTGTCTGTTTTCTCTTGCACAGCTGCAGTTCAGATTCTCAGTGTAGCCGAGGGTGGCCTCGAACCTTTGACCCTCCAACTCTGCTGCAAGCTTGGCCAGGTCGGGGTTTCCCTGCCTGCACCTCTTGGATGTGCGTAGGCTAGGCGGCCTCCCGGGAAGGAGGCGCACACACAAGCTGGGCCCCCAGTTCAGTTCCCAGAGTCACATAAAGATGGGAGGAGAGAACTCAGTGACGGG